AGTGGCCGTCATCATTTAAAATTTCTGCCACCAATGTATAAGGGTACAGTTTCTTCATGTTTTTGCCACAATGTGTTAGCACAGACCTTTTGATAAACTATGAAGTGCTGGCTCACGGTAGTTTTGATCTGCACTTTCCTACTGCTGAAGAGGGTGAGCGCTTGCTCACTGGCCTGACAGATACTTTCTTGGCTTCTTTGCCTGGTTTTTAAAACGGAGTTACTTTTACTATTGGTTGTAAGAGCTCTTTATTTACTGTGGGTAAAAGTCTCATGAGGTATCTGATTTATAAGTACTTCTTCCATTCTGTGAGCTGTCCTTTCCTTTTTCCTATGTTATCATTTACAGCTTGAATGTTTCACATTTTCATGATGTGTAACTCAACTGTACTTTCTTCTGCTGATTAGACGTCTGGGTCATATCCTGGGCCTTGTCCATCTCATGGGCATGAAGATTTATTACTGTGGCATTTATTCTACAATTTTAGGCTTTTCAATCTGTCTTCAGTTGCACCTTTCTTTTTTGGGGGGCGGTGACAGTGCTAGAGACTGACCCCAAGACCTAGTACTTGCAAGCACCCACTGCTGACCAGCCTGGTTGTGTAACCTATTCCTATATAACTACGTGTTTTCCCATTCCCAAAAAGTCACCAAAAGAACAGAAAGGATTCTCGGCACTGCCAGTCGTTGAGTCTCAGCCCCATTTGCTTCCTCACTGCCTCCCCCCACACCCGCTTTCCCTTCCATCACATGAAGATGGGTGGTGAACAGGATGCTCCTTTTATGCTCTAGAGAATCAGAATGCGCTCGTGTGTAACCATGGTTACACATGTGATAAACCTCAGAAAACTAGGCACACCACCAACAGATCCACAGCCTCTTCTAACTTTGTCAATTGTCTGTCCCAGGTTAAGATCCACTTCAGAGTTCCTAACTGCATTCAGTTGTCACAGCTCTTTTGAGTCCTCTGTCGGGAATGGCTGCAGTCTTCTTGTCCTCCAGGTCCGGCCGTTGATACTCTTGTGGGGGACAGGCCAGTTACTTTTAGAACACTGGCCACCCGCTTTGTCTAACATTTGCCGTGATGAAATCTGAGACGCATTTGTTTTAAATTAAGAATCAAGAAAGAAATGAGCACAGGTTCACTTTTCCTTTTCCTTTTTGTGGTCTTGGGAACTGAACTTAGAGCCTCACTCATGCTAGGCCAAGCACTCCTCCACTAGGCTACAGCCATGGCCCTGGTAGATTCATCATGCTGCCTGTCTAACTGGTAGTGCACATTTGATCAACTAGTTAAGGATGCATAAAAGCAAATTAGTCCCCTCTAGTACTGTTAATACTTTCTCTCATGGCTAACCTGCAATCTGTTTTGAGACTAGATGTAAATCTAGCTCCCCTCAAGCTTCTATCATTTGATTTATATCCACTGTAAATCCTGAACTGCTCACCTATGATGGTCACCAAGCGCGGTATTTTATCCCTGTCACCAGGGATTAGCCAGTATTAGACTGTCAGAAAGGACATTCCATTTTCTTCCACTTTCTTACATAATCACTCGTGCAATTCATTTATATCAGCAGGAACTTTATTCCATGAGTCCTTTCCTCTTTGGGGAAGGTTGTTATTGCGTGATTCTGAGAGAAGGCTATATAGCCCATGCTGGCCTTGAACTCTAGATTCTCCTGCCTCAGCCTGTGTTCCATGAATTTTCCTCTATGACTTTTTAGTTGTAAGCCAAAATTGTTCCAAGTGGGAAGTTCATTAAGCTGGTTTTGGGGTCCCTCTATGTGTCTATCATTATTTAAGCACGTCCTTTTTTCCTGTCTAAGGCATTGTGGGCTCACTGTATCTTTCCAGTACCAACTACTGAAGGTGTTCCTTTCTGAGGGCACGATGCTGAGAAACCAAGTCTTGCAGCCTAGGAACTTCCACTACACTGGAGCACTTTCGTAGGTCACTGCAGCAGGCAGAAAAGGTGAAAATTGGAGAGACAGGCAGACAAGCACACACACAGGGCAGGGCCATATTGCTAAAACATGATTCAAGGCTTGTTCTAATTTTCCTTTCACACCGTAGCATCCTTTTCTAGTAGAGAAACTTGACTTGGCTCCCATCATTAGTATATTTATTTTTCTGCTCAATCCTACAACTCACAGAAAATTACTTCTGAGTTGCCAGTATCAGAGCAAAGGGCAAATCTAACTAGAATTTAACAATTGTGTAGTGTGTTGTGTGTGTGTGCATGTGTGTATGTGGGTGTCATGCTTGTATGCACATGGTGTTGGATCCCCTGGAGCCGGAGTCCCAAGCATTTGCTGGACACCTGGCTTATTACCTGGATGCTGAGATCTGAACTCTGGGTCTCGTGGTTGCTCAGCAATCCCTCATAACTGCTGAGCCACCTCCAGCCCAAAGAGTGCTTTTTCAGGTTAGACTCACAGTATCTTAACAGGTGACTATTTAAAACACCGAGTTAGTTAGTTTTCCTCCCTCTTTAGTGTGGTTGTTACTCATCTGAGACACTGAAGCTCATTTTCTAATTATATTTCATGTATTTATCCCCTCAGTGTTTTTATTATGAATATGCAAAACATTAGCAAGGATCTAGGAGTAAAAATACACATTATAAAAAGAGAATCTACCACTCCTAAGCCTTCCCACCTTGTTTCCACCCATCACTTGGGGGAAGCGCTCTCACTAGATCTTATTTCATCTTCCTGGCCCTTCTACTGGCCAGGACAAACAGAACACACATACTTTTAGATTGCCACAAATGACCACTGTTTCATAGAGGTTTCACTCTTTTTTTTTTTTCTAGAGCAGCACTATTTTCTCTGCATAGACATACCACAGTTTTATCCACCCAAGCTCACGTGTGGGTCTCTATCCCTGCTCATTACAAATAGCACTGCAGGACTGACTTGTGAAGCTTTGCTGGGTCAAAGGACAGGCATGTGTAGTTTTACCAAGGTTCTGCCTATTCCTTCATTGTGTTCCCAACACTGATTTTGATTCTTATTTCCTGGCAGTCTTGTGAACAGATTTCTCTGCAGCTCTCAGTAGACAGTATGACAAAAATTCAGCTTGGTAATACAATCTGCTAGGTGAGAACTTAGTACCTAAGGGAAGCTATAATCTGTTTCTTATTGTGAAAGAAATAGAATATGTTACCAACCACCAACCATTAGAAGGATTCTGCATTTACTCTGAGGCGCCAAGATTTTATTTAAAAGCTCTACCTCTGGGAAAGAAACACTGAATTAACAAAACAAAGGGTCTTTCCTTCATTTCTTATGTTACTATTGCTTGTTTCTCCATTTATCTCAATGCCCTCCCCTACACAAACACGTAATCCTATCCTTGACAATCTCACACGACTGTTTCCCCTAGAGCAAAACAAGTGTGTGAACCAGCAAATGGAGCAGCCAGCTGCAGCTGCCTCAGTGTTTTAGCTAGGACACTAGGAGAGAGAGGAAAGAGAACGCTGCTGTGGGTATTTATGTACTGGAAAATGGGTGAGGCCAGCCTGTGAAAGTGACAACTACTAGGACCCACTGAAGCCAGGTTAAAGTATCTGGCTTGAGCTGACCAACAGTGAGCACTGTGTGCAGAGGGTGAGCACTTGGCACTGAACAGAACACCACTGTCTAGTCTGTGGCTGATGCCTGCATTCCTAGCATGCTAGAGCTGAGGCAAGATGATAGATACTGCAGGTTATGGGCTAGCCCAGGCTACAGAGTGAGATCCTGCCCAACTCCCACCTCCCTCAATGGGCATCACTATTTATACTCACTCCAGTTGAAATAGCTCCAGGTCTCCTGTGGGTCTTCGTTTGACCGTGAGAAGCAGGTTGGCCTTTAAATCCCCATCTTTTCATGACACCCTGAAAACCTTTACCAATACTGGAAAAAAAAGTTAGAATTTACATAATGAGTGGAGCGTAAAATTTCTGCCCGTACTTTCTTGACAGCACCTTGGAATTCTAACAAGACTTCCTATCTAAATAACCAGAAAAGGCCATACCAGCCAAACTGCAAATGAACATTCCTTCATCTGTCTTGGTTTGCACCTCTCCCTGGAGTCTAACTCTGTATAAAATGTTATGTCAAGACTGTGAGACAATAGCAAGCTAAGCATGGGGAATTTACCTAGGAAAGGTTCGCCCTCAGAATCTTGTGATATCATAGCAAAGCTCCAGAAGTTTCAGCTTCCTAACAGACATAATAGGATGGATCCCAAAGACCCCTATCTCCTAGTATTCATGCTGTACTTAATCCTCTTCCCAGGAGCCTGGGACTGATTCAGTCTAATGGAAAAAATAAGCTAAGAGATGAGCTCTCAGTCTGAGGTTGGTCGAAAGAGACCCCTCTGGTCCTCTCTCTGTCCTCTTGCTCCCCAGGCTCTGTAAGAAGCATCCAGCACTAACTATATAAGCACTCCTATGAAATAGAATGTAGCAAGGCCGGTTCCCGCCAACAGCTGAGGCCCTGCCACTGCTGCCAACACCCTGCCACTGAGCCTGGAGGCAATTTTTCTCTAGTCAGAGCCCAATGTGACCATAGCCTTGTGAGAGACCCTGAGCCAGATACAGCCAGGCAAGGTATGCTGAATTTCTAGCCACAGACACTGAGGCTGCCGAGGTTTATTTAAGCAATTGTGTGAGGGGCAACGAGTCTGAGAACAATAGATAGGGCACAGAACAGAGCACTGAATAAATAAACCTCTAGACTGGCTCTGCCATTTACAAGAGTGAGCCTCTAGCACAGTGGCTTTCAACCTTCCTAATGCTGCGGCCCTTTCAGTCCCTCATATTGTAGTGACCCCAACCATAAAATTATTTCACTACTACTTCATAACTGGAATTTTGCTACTGTCATGAATCATAATGTAAACAAATAGCTGATATACAACCCTATAGGGGTCGTGACCCATAGGTTGAGAACCACTGCTCTAGATGCTGGACAAATAGTTTTAGAGGACACCAGATAGATCTTGATCTGGGTTGAATAGGAAGCTAGTGGAAAAAGCAAAAGTAGAGAAAGACAGATTCTTAATAATGTAAATATTATTTTTAAATGAAAACACTTTATTACAAAGTCTGTTAGTTAAAGAAACAAGCTAATGACACCAAGGTTAGCAAAGTCCATCTCTGAATGTCAAGTACATTCCTACAAATGATCCTGTGCAGGTCTGAGAGACTTGTAAGTCTTCTACAGGCATCATCTACATGTTCTTAAGGTGGAGATTTTCTTCATCTCTCACCAGACAGTGAGAGATATTTCAATGTAATATTGTGTGGTTTCAACAAAGCTAGTCATAATTAGACGTGCACTGTTCAGACCAAATACAAGATAGCACGAAAACCACACTATTTCCACAAGGATTCTGCTACATGTTTATTAACAAAGAATTACCAGACAGGATGGATTGAAGAAAGCCCCTTGAATAACAGTTTTAGATAAATCAAGAAGTTAATATAAAAACAGTTAGAAACTATAAATAGAGCCCCAAAACCATGCACTCTCAAATAATACATCAAGACTGTTTAGGACTAAATTAAACGTAATTTACACCTCTTCCTGCCAGCATATACCACTCTCTCATCCCTCGATAACTACAAAAGTAAATAGTCCTAGCAAAAAGCTAAAATAGAAATGTAACATATATTTAATGGAAAAACAAATTACTGCATAATTTTATAGAGAGATGAACACCAAAGAGAAGCTATGAGAATCAAATACTGAAATTATGCTTCAGATATTATTAATATTTCCACTTAACAGTGAATGTTAGGGCATACTTGCAAAGTAATGTAAAAAGCTTAGTAATTTACAAATGAAAAGAAATAAGTGAAGAATGATTTGGAAGTATTCTATCATTTAGCAAGTAGCACCTGAGAGCAGCAGGGGAAAATGACCAGCAATACTCCTCTTGGGGGAACATGCTTTAAAAATACCACACTTGCGCTCCGGCTGCCTTCTGTAGACGTTCACTACTGCCTCCAGAGTTCTCAAACTGATTATCTGCCTTAAAAAGACAGCTTGAGTGCATGCACCAGGAAAACGCAAGCAGGTAAATTACAGAAGATAATTGAGCTCATTTTAGAGTAAATGATTACAAGATGAAAGTGGTATCCTCAAAGTGCTAATTATGTGTCAGCTAATTGCAGATTGTTTTCCAGTCTGGTCTGGAACACTTCATGAGTCCCACTGTGTACAACGGGAACCTCTTCAGTAAATAACCTTTAAACAAAAGGCAGAAACCCAAGTGACGCGACAATTACTGGCTTGACTCAGGCTGCAGAGAATAGAGTGCACCTGTTGATCCATGGGAGGTACAGGTAGCAAGCCTCTGTCTGGCTTCTCCCAGTTGCAATCCAACTTGAGAACAAAAGTGAAACAAAAGCAAGGAATGAACTCATCTTTACTTAGCATGCCTGGGTGTGATTCAAATACAATACTTCTGCAAGTCACAGAAGAAAAAACTTCACAGAAATGTCTACACAACACAGATGCCTACCTCCCTCACCCTCCACCCACTGTGGGGCTTTGCCTGCTTGTTTGTCTAAGACAGGGTCTCGTGCTGCGGCCCCGGCCAGCCTGGAGCTCACTTCCTAACTCAGGCTGGCTCAGAACTGATGCCATCCCCTGTCTCTAACATGCCAGGTTTGCAGCTGTGCACTCTTCCTAGCTACCCAATGCAGTTCTTAACTAATGGCTGCAGAAATAAATCAAATGAAAATTCAAATCTGGAAGAATGCAATTTTAGACATTCCAATTTTAGTGGGGCTTATGTGAAAACAAGAAAAACAAAAATGAATGTATTTAGGATACTTACACTGTTTAAAAAGTCATTTAAAAACAAGAAACACCTCAGAGGTCTCATTTAATCTAGATGACTACTACTGCCCTGATCCTTGGCCCATGCCCCCCATATGGACGGCATACAGGGCAGAGACAACACACCTTACTTAGCCCAGAATGCAGCCTAAAGAAGTGAGCCTAATGCCATCACTACTACTATGTCGTGGGAAGAAAGGAAAGAAAAAAGGTTTAGAGGCCTACAGGATTAGTAACCGTAAACCATTCCAGAAGGTAATGCATAACTTACTTTTCCCAACTCATCCCATTATCTCTAGAGATTAATTCTACAGGAATTTCATCCCAGGCCCTATGACAAATGCCCAAATACTGACCACAAACAGTTTTTAAACAAACCCACCAGGTATTTCTCTACCTAATGTTTCTAACTTGTCCCTGGGGCAAACACGTCTGCGGCAAGGAGAGACTGCATGTCTGCTCTGAACCATCTTGACCCAGTTTCCTAAGGACCTCCATAGCCCTACCCCCAAGTCTCTTCCCTGCCACTGGCTTCTGGGACATCTCTCTCCTTTTCTTCTCTTTTCTCCTCAAATTCACCATGCACACCTCTGCAATCTATTTTCCTCTTCAATTAGTTTCTGGAAACCACTCTATGTTTAATCTAATCCAAATCCACCAAAATATTTTTGTAAAATAATTTTTATTATGAAATCATTGCACCTATGAAGAGCAGAGACTCTATACTGAAGCCTGAGGCATCCATCACATTGGCAATGAGTGACTTCAGGCCTGCCTGCCATGTTTTTTCTGTTTCTCTTGTTCTGTAGTTCCAGTAGGGCACTTAAAAGCAATCTCCAGATAGTCTATCATTTGCATCACAAATACTGCAGTATAGAAAGTTAAGGATACTTTTAAACTACAAAAGCACAATATGGTTACCACAATCTAAAAGGGAATGAACGACTCCTTAGTATCAAATAAGCAGCCAGTGTTCGGAGGCCCGTGCCCTCCTTCCACAGGCAGTCTATTCCTCTACCCTTCTTTGGTGTCTCTCCACCCTGCTGCCATCAGTGTCCACTTTGTGGCTTCCTTAGCCTTTGAGATGCCCTTTCTCCCTAATGCACCATGAAAAGGCAGTGTGAGCATCCTGCTTCTGATTGTCTTCTTGCTTCGGTTAAGTCACAGATTGGCATACGTTAGCTTGCACTGACCACCTGGTTTTGTAAATAAAGTTTTATTGGGGTAAAGAAGTGCACATTCATTTACATGTTGACTATGTCTGATATACTAGATGATATCAGAATTGAACTTTTGATGACTTCATGCTTTCTGTTCACTTCTCAAGTTTTTCTTACTGAGGCAGAGCTTTCCTTTAAACTAAACAAAAAGCGGCGACAACATGGTGATGGCAGCCAATGCTGCAGAGCAGGACATACTCAGTGCGAGGCTTGAGCCAAGGTCTACAACAGTGGTTCTCAAGCTGTGAGTGGCAACCCCTGGGAACCGAATGGCCCTTTCACAGGGTGGCCCAAGGCCATCAGAAAACACAGATGTTTACATTATGATTCACAAAATCACAGAGCAAAATCACAGCTATGAAGTAGCAACGAAAGTAACTTTATGCTTGGGTCAGCACAACATGAGGAACTGCATTAAAGGGTCAGGCGTTAGGAAGGTTGAGAACCACTGGGCTAGAAGCACTTAAAGATGAAGCAGTAAGAGATCAAGGAACTTGCCTCAGTCACAGAGTTATTGTGGCTATGACCTTGTTCACCCGTTACTTATTATCTTGCTGTCCTTGGTTTTTGCTGCTTGGTAGATTTTCATTAGGAACGCAATTAGAGATATAGATAACCACTAAAATATGTTTAAACAACAAATCAAGAGAACTCTAAAACACTTTCTCCCAAACTAGCCTTCATCTCAAAACAACCATCCACCTTAACCTTCTTTCTGAGAGATTATCTCTCTATAGTCTCACTAATGTCCATAAACTTACTGTTCTGAACAGCTAGTAAATCAAGTTATTAAAAAAAGACTAGAAATGGAGGACAAAGTAGAAAAGTCTGTCCTCACATCAGTCACAGGAGAGATGCAATGAGAAGACACAAAACCTACCCTCAAATGGCAAGGTCTCCATTCACAGTTAATGGGAAAACGATACTCTCATGGGCTCTGAACAGGGGAGCTGCCCTTCTCCAGAGGAGAAGCATTGAGGGAAGTGCACTGAAGGACTTAAGAGGACAGACGGACAACAAGCGAATGCATGTGGGCTGTCCAGACACCCCACAGCCCAGGAAGTCAGCGGCAGGGAAGAGAGGCCGCAATGAGGATAAATCACACATCTAAGGAGCCAACAGAGCACTAAGAAGTTCAATCAAGGTCCATGTGAGCAGCCAATCAGTCTACAAGCATTTAAGAGCACCAGAGGATGCAGTGGCATGCTGGCTAGAAGAGGTACAGTCCCTGGAAACACTTACCAGGAGTTATGTAAGATCCACGGCAAGCTGACCTCAGGTAAGGCCGTCTCCAGGAAGATACAAAGACCAGAATGCAGTGGGCTTTCATGGGGGCAGGCCACTGCTCACACAGAAATGAAACGAATGCTGAGCTGCAGCCATGCAGCAGCAAGGGCCTCCTCCTTTCCTCCAGAGCTGACCAGCACTGCTTTAATCCTAAGGCTATTTGTTCCCCCAGTGCTTATCTAGTATTTAGACTGGAGGCTGCTACGTAACTTCAAATCATCTTGTTTTCCAGAAATAGGACCTTACAAAAGAAACATTTCCCTATCATACTTGATATACAAGGAAAAAAAAAGCCAAAGACACTCAACAGTAGCATATGAAGTGAAAGCATCCACTGACCACAGGCATTTGAAAAGCTAAGCTCTACACCAAGCTGGTCACAAGTCTGGACACAAGACAGCTGCTGACCAAGACATCTGTATGTCTTCTCAGGGTGTCCCTACAAGTTATGTAATGGAATCCACACAGCATCATATGTAAGTTCACAGAAGTGCGTGGTATGATTTGTAATAATTCATAAATTTTAAAGTAGAATAAGCTGCTTTATAACTCAGAGTCTTCACCAGTTAACAAAACCTGAAAAGGTCAGGAAAGCTGAATAGTAGTCACCAAGAGACTAGTCAGTGATCTTACTGGCTTCAGTAACTAGGAGAGAGCAAAAGGGACAGGTTCAGAACCTCCTAAAGACTCTTCTTACTGCCAATCTACCCCATGTCATGTCTTCAAAACTAGACAAAGGTAAAGGCATCTAGCAGCTTCTCAAGTGGCCTACATTTGACATGAGGTGGCCAAGGTGTGGAAACATATCTACCCAATTAAGGAAACTCTGATCAGATTTTGTTTTAAAGACACTGAGGCCAACACTCATCAGGTTTCTTTGGATAAAAGCTGCTGTTTGGTCAACACCATCACAAGATAAATGCAAACCAATTGCTCTTCCCAGCAGAGTCCATGGACATCTTTATCTGTCAAAGGGCTCTTGGTGAGAATATCCTTGTAGGCACTGTCATGTGACTAAGAGGAGTAAACAAAGTCAGAATCCATGAAGAGAACAAGAATTGATAACAACTGGTGCCCCTGTAATTTTGGCTCTTCTAGGTTGTGTGAGTCCCAACAGCCAGCAGGAACCAGTTTCCAAACAGCTACACCGTACTGTACTATAGCAGTAACTTCCCTAAGATCTCGAGTTCCTAGAATCATACAGACACTCACCATGGAGCAGAAATGGTTAAACAATCCAAAATACTAGCCCGGACTAAACAATCAAGGGCAGCATTTCTGTTAGGGCAGCAGCTACACCCAGCACCATCTAACACTAAAAGTCAAGCTTCATGTTCCTTATGAGACCACACTGTGGAATTTCTTCTAGTTTCTGGTCATACAGCTGTAAACATCTCACTGGGACCCTGGGACACTAAACCCAACAACCGCTTGGATATATAATATAAAATCTTGTTACTCCTAGGAACTGGAAAGAGCACACCCAACTAAACTATGCTGTGGTTGCAGGAGAAGTCATAAGCTTTGCTCAGGCATGTTTCACAATCCAAGTGTGTGTTGTCTTGGTCTTCAAAGCAGACCTAACGGAGAAAGCATTAATTCACGTGACCTTCCACTGAGCCCCATTTCTGGAAGCACACATCTCAGTCCATCTGATGTAAACTCTTTGTATGAAACTAACCCAGTGCAACTTAAAAACTAACCGTCAGTGACTTGACAGATAGGATTATGAGAGCACTTGTTTCTAGTCACCGACTTGAATGACTACACATTCACCCACCCTGTTCTTTAACACATGAAGAACCAAAGCAAAGGAGAAGTGCTGAGACCTACGTTTTGGCTGTGACATCCACATACTGTCCAGGACGAAAGTGAGCAGCATAAAGAGGGGTTCCTTTATGAAAAGAAGATGAGAAATTGATGTTATCTGTCAGCACCGAAATGATTGTATTCACAGGCCATTCCCCCACAGAGCACCCAGGTCTGCTTTCAAGTGCTTGTAGATCTTCGGCAATTAAGAACATTAGAAATATCCAAACAATGGAGCCATTCACAAACAAGTTCTAGTTATCAATGAGAAGGTGAAGGACAATGGGACCCTTTTTAAGGTGCATGTGCTAGAGTGAGTGAGCCACCAGATACACCTGACTAGCTAGCACCTTCATGGGGCTTATGTGGTATTGGTCAAAATGAGTGAGTCCTGTGGTAATCCAGTACCCCTGCTGGCAAACAAATTTAATGATTTCTGTTGTTTCAGCAAATAAGCATGCTGAATTAAAATATATAATCCACTGCACCTAAAGGGGGGAAAAAAACCATGAGAAGAACTAAGTGCATCGGGGTTTGATGCAATCTTTCATCACCCAGTGGACTAGGAAATGTACTTCCTGGACTCAGCCTCTCCTTGGCTGGGTACTGATTACAGTGGGGATATATTCACACAGCACCTGTCATGTCAGATTACTTCTGTTCTAGGTATGTGCTGATAAAATCTTTCAGCTAGCACAGGCCTAGGTCTTTGGATTAGACAAAACCTGCCCTTATAGATACTTCTAAGTCTATATTAGAAACGTGTAAGTCATAGCCCTCACCTAAAAAATTTGTTATTTTGGTTAAGAGTCACTACATCATCAATTAAGAGCTTAAATAAATAAATAAATAAAAAATGAGAGACCAATGTAGCTGAGAACAAAATTGAAGGCCAGTTTTAGTTTCTTTAATTAGTACTAAGAGTGGGGTGCAGTGGTAGTTTAGAGGGCAGTTTCTTTAAGGTAAGATTACTCTAGGTTTGTAAGGGAAAAGCAAAAACCTTAAATAGGAACTTTATTCTATGTATGCCAAAGCATCACATTACCCTCTATAAATAAATACAAATGATTTGTCAATAAAAATATTAATTTAAAAAAGAAAAATTAAAGGATTACAAGGGATCTCATTTTTGCCAGGCTGAACAACTCAAACTGCTATTTGACCATCACTGATTCACAAAAAAACGTGATTTAATATGGTTTGAGTTACAGCAAAAATCAATGTGGACTTGACTTTTCTAACTATCCTAAACATGAACAGAGGCATTAGACAAATTAGATCAAAAGTGGGTACTTAAAATTTGCTTCAGAACAAATCCTTTATATATATTCAAAGTGGAATATATGCTCATTATAAATCAGACTAATATCCAATAATGCAAGTCTTACCATAATTTTTGTAAACAAATTTATTTTGCCTTAAAATTAAAAATTTAAACTTAAAAAATTCACTACCATCTTGTTGCAATTCAAGTTCAAAAACTGAGGGGCTCTCTTAAAGGTCAAAACACACCAAAATGTCATAATTTAGTAACCATATGAATTAGTATAATCGCATGTCAAAGCTTAATTTGACATTCCACGGACAGGCAAATGAATCTTTATCCCAAGGGCTATGTTTGGCCATTGTCCTTTTGAGGCTGTATTTTCTCACTCTCCAGGAGAGCGTACTATTCCTAGCAGAATGCTAGCCTGCAAATTATGAACACATTTTAAAGCTAGAACACTTACTTGGGGAGGCTTTGTAAAAAAAATGTGACACTCCACATTTGTAAACAAAAGTTCCTCCCTCTCAGGGAAAACAAAGAGGATCCTACAGCTTTCCCACTTCCCAGAGACAAAGACTTGTTTGTTCCTGGTGATTAAATAAGATAGGTTTTGTATTTAAAAATAGGTGTTTGGGACTTGGTATTTTGTTTAGCTTTATTGAAAGGGCTGACATTAAACAAAGCACATATTTGGGTATTTTTACCTCCCTCCTCTCCCGACCTCAGATTACCTGGCTTAATTACAGCATTATCTGTTACACGAAAGATTTTAATTGTCTGTTTTGGTGGCAATCCAAGTTCTCGGTAAAATTCCAATATAGAATCAGGTTTCTAGGGGGAAAAGAGGCACGTATAAATAACACATCAAACAGTACAAGTGGACCTGATGCAGAGACCCAATTCAAGTTACAAACAGCCAGAAAAATAAAGATCAAAGCACAGTGTATTTCCCTACTGAACCAACAGCATCTAATTCCCACTGTTTAAGGGAGCTGAGATTATATCTACAATCATTATACATCTAAGAATCCTTACCGCTTGGGATTCAGCCAGGTGGACAAGTTTCAGCTAGGACGTACGCCCCTGCTGGTCTGAAAGCACACCTGGAACCGGCTGCAGGTCCTTGGTCTATACTAGTCACTGTTTATGGGGCCTTTCCGAAAAATTTTTGGATGACTTGCCCTCTTAATTACTCAGGCCTCCTCAAGTACTGTCTAAAATAGAACCGTTTTTTGTCACCTGTCAACCCCTCAGCCTATTTTTCTTATTCCTTAGACCATTTACCTACATCCATCCTGGTACACTTTAAAAAAAAATTGCTTAATCATCTATACCTGCAGTTCAG